AAGAACAACACTATTAAAGCATCGATCGAACGATACTTACAACAACGATCTTACCTCATGAGTCCCAAGTTAGTTTTCAACCGTTAAGGACGTGTGCGCATCGACTGACTAACACTCGCTCTATCAATCCCACTTGATTTAATACTGAGTCCTTCAATAAAGCACATCCTCTACAATATACCGCTTCCTACTTCAAAAAAGGTGTAGAATATTTCTAAGTGGATTTTCTTCAAAACATGATAATAAATTAAAAGTTTCTTCCGTACAACAAGATTAAAATTGATTGAAGAGGGGATGTCTTCATTTACAGTACATTTTGACAATAATCTTATTTAAAGAGAAGTTCCTTGACAATTAAATAACAAGTACGTTTAATAGATTKRAAGCTGATTAGTATGARATGTTTCGCTAGCAGGTATTGTTAATGGGCCATGCACTCGRAACAAATCAATTGCTGCGAAATTTACGCAAATATACCTTGTGCTACTTTTGAAATTCGCTCCTTGTWGTTGCAATTAGTTGTTGAAGCCGGTAATTAACGTTCATATCAAGTAAAAGCAGTTGAGTTCATTTACTATAGTTCCAGTTCGGAAATTTCACCCTTGAAKTCCGAACTAAATCCATTAAAGAAATGATTGATTGATTGAATGATTGATTGATTTCGGCGTTAACAGTAATACCGTTCAGAGAAGCTTTCGTTAAAAATGTCATTTTTTAGTCCTGGTCGGCCTCTTGAACTTATTAATGAAAAGAAAAAAATCAGAATATAGCAGGAGTGTTATAGACTATCGCTGTCTTTATAACAAATGATTTTAAAGACAAAAATAGYGAAAATACATTCCCCATCATGCTTTGTTAAAAAAAAATGGCTGCTCAGTTGCCCACATCGAGATTTTCTCATTTGATGAAATTGTTCCCACGCGTGCGTGCAGCATAAAYAGACTTCAACCTTGACAGCATAAATATGACAGTTTGATTAAATGCAGCAGATTTTATTAGCAAAATAGYTCATAACATGAAAATATTTCAGTCTGAGGAACTGTGAAAAATAGTACTCTATTACAAATTTGTGTTTTCACCTTAATTGATTTAATATTAATCAGTAATAAATTAATTATTTCTGTATATATCAAAACATATTTACAAATGTTTTACACAACACATTTCGTGTGCTAAATCAGAATAAGAGTAAAGCCCGASCAAGCGCTCTTTGATCACAGAAGACCACCAAACATTGAGTTCATACAACATATTTGACCTTCCATATCCAGTCAACAACATACACTATCAGACTGGCTGTACAATTGTTGGTATGTCAAACGACAATAATTGATAAATTTAGTGATCAAACAAACTCGTTTACCCGAGGCTAAGTAACCCAAATCCTTTGTCTTCAATTATTAAACAAACATTTTCAACGTTTGAAAGAGTTAAAAGCGTACAACATGAACTGACTTGTTTAAGTTAGCCGACAATTCTAAAATGTACTGTTCAACTTTTGACCCACAAATCTCTTCGATCATGTTCCATAAGTCCCCTAAAAATGCAGCTTTCTACAGCATTTCATAGTTTTTCTACTACCTGATTAATAATTTTTTAAACAAAAGTAACAAATGCAAAAGGAAATCCCCCCCAAAAAACGACACCAACTATAGGATATCAAAGAAGGCCTCTGGGCCCAGTCTAGAAAATATACCTAAAAATATCGAACCATGTAAATCAATCCTACAACAGAGTCAGACCGTTTTAGACCCTGTTTACATGAGACAGTGTGCCCCTACGTGGTAGGGCTAAACCTTTTGCTTTCTTTTCCCTGGAGGATTTAAAAGAAAGGATTTTGGCCGTACCACTAGGGGCACCCTATCTCATGTAAACAGGGTCTTATACTATCTGACAGCCTTTGCCTTTAGCAGTTCCGTACCACTAGGGGCACCCTATCTCATGTAAACAGGGTATTATACTATCTGACAGCCTTTGCCTTTAGCAGTTCCGTAATGCAGTCTGCGGAAAGTGAATTGTGAACACTAAACTGATTTACACCGTATACCAGTCTGCCTTTTATATCATACTTCCTGTTAATATCAATAACTTACTTCTTACTTATATGGCCGTCGAAATATATATCGATCT